AATCATGATCATCCTGCATCTTCAGCCCATACAGCCACTGCTTTAGATACAGTTTAGTCGTTAAGGATTTGGACATAAACTAACTTTCCAACTTCTTCCAAATTTCATCTGGAGACGGTAGATGCATGACTTGATACATGATCTCGTCCGTCAAACATAATCATATGTTCCTGTCGCTCGCTGTTGCAATTCTTCCCAATATTCCTCCTTCATCGACGCTTGCTTTGTAGGTCGCAAAGCCTTCAGGATCCCTTGTTGCGCCAACAGATCCTTTACCCTTATTTTCCATAATCCGAAGTTACCCTTACCATCGAATTTCACAACTTCGAATTTGGCTCCTGATATCGGATACCAATTGTTTAAAAACCGGGTAAAGAAAACAGAAAGAACACAAGAATTTTATCGAGGTTCAGCAATGTGTTTACATCCTCGGTGCCTTAGACGGCGCTAGAATTTTTATTCAATTCAATGTCTCATAGGTTTAGGTTACATCTCCTTTTATAATAAATAAACCCTGATACATATTTACAAAAATAACCCTATACCATTCCGCAAGGCCGCAGCCCCAACACCCGCAACCCACATAATCATAACCACCACTACAAGACTTTCTCGGTATATTTATGAGTCATACCTAACATATTCTTATATTTTATTTTTTTCATAAAAAAATATTGGTCACCTATTGTTATCTTATCAGACGAGACTCTTTGTTGAAACTAAGAGATTAATCGTATACGATCAATGAGATAAACTTGTTCTCATCGATTGTAGTTATGTAAGTAGTTTAAGTTATGATTAAAGGGTTTATGTTGTAGATACAAAGATGTGAATGAGTACGATGAGAAGGCACCACATGTGAAGACGGCTCACCCTTGGCCGGAGCACTTGTATCCACTGCATGTGGCCATGGGAGCTGCCGTAGAAAATGCAAAGGCCAAACTCATCCATGAAAGCTGGCATCTTGGTTCTTTTTCCTATGCTTCTTACCAGTTCACAGCAGGCACCTGATGTTACCTGCCCTGCAATTATCACCTCTTTAATCCAAATAAATTTTATACAAGCCCTGTTCAATCTACGCTTAAATTATATTAATGTATGTAAAGATGAACACATAATTTTAAGTTAGAAGGATGAATTATACAATTTTAAGAGAGTGAACTTATAAAATTTTATAATCAATCATTCATGAATCGTGATTGATCCGGACATAAATACAAATGATGGTCAAATATCATGATAATAAATCTTATTTTTAGAAATAATTTTAAGCGATCAAATTTTTAATATAATAACAAAGAGATATTATTTTAGTTTTGATTAATATTAAATTATAAATTAATTGTGTGTAAAACTTTCTATTTTTCTCTATATAAAAGAATTTTCTGATTTGATATTTTTGTGTTGGAAGATGACTTTTCCTTTATAAAAAATCTATGCCAAGATTTTAACTAAAAATAGATTAGGGACTAATAAAAGACATGATAATAATATAGTGATCAAATTATGTTGAACTAGAATTTTAGGGATTAAATCTTCACTTTTTAAACATAATAAAAGGACCAAAATTACAACTTAACTGATAAGTTCTAAGTGGGGGTGTTCCTAGGGATGTCAACGGGTCGGGTTCGGGCCGGATATTGGTCCCCTGTCCCCGTTTAAAAAACTCATACCCGTCACCGCTTAAAAAATTGTAGGGATTTAAACGGGGAACCCCATCGGGTAATCGGGGAAAACCGCGAGGAAACGGGTATCTCCGTTTAGCATAAACGGTTATTTAAACGGGTATCGGGCCGGATATATATATATTTAAATTAAATATATAAATATTATATATTTTTTTTAATTTAAATTAAATTTATTAATATTATATATATAATTATTTTTAATATTTATCGGGACGAGTATCGGGCATGGTAATCGGGTAATCGGGGCGGGGATTATCAAACCCGTCTCCGATTAGCATAAACGATTTTTTTCCGTCTCTGTTTAATTCGATTTTCAATTTTTCCCATCGGATTCGGAGTTTTTTACCATCCCTAGATGTTCCATGGGCTGTGGCTTAAAATGGTCTCTTTCAAGGGAGGTGTATCATTTTTCTATTTCTATGTATATACAAAAATGTGCAATTGGTGTTCAAACATGGTGATGGGAAAAATTGCTTCAACAATGGATCGAGAAAAAAAATTACTTATATAAGGTGTAGTAGAAATTAATTTTTGAATTAAGATTTTTGATATAGTATTATGTGGAAGTCATTAGGAATACACAACGATTTTTAAAAGTCATCAGAACTACACAACGATTTTTTTATATATGCAGCACAGAAAAACTTGATTTTCGACGTATATCATAGTGTAGTCCTGGTGATTTTTAAAAATCGTCGTGTAGTCCTAACAACTTCCACCGAGTATAAAACAAAAATCTATTGATCTTATGCTATTTAATGAGTTTTGCTTTATAAATTCAATTTCCATTTGAGTTGTTACAGAACTTTATGAACTTCAACCAATATTCTTATCTAAGTTTCCCTAAAATTTAATGTTATCGATCGCACCGGCATGCGTCTCATAAATTTATTGTTACATATTCGTACTCATTACGAAGCTACGTTAGGATAGAACGTAATAAATGAAAAAGTAAAGGAAAACAGGAAAGGAAAATTGAAGAGAGAAATGTAAAGGATATATGTATTTTATTTAGATAATAAAAAAAATCAGTTTATAATAGCAATTTTGCACAATAATTTAAGCTTGATTTTACTGAGTAAGCTTGTAGTTTAAAATTGTTATGTTATTAATCTTTTTGAAAAATATTTGCGTTGAAAATTTATTTTTAGATATGGGTCATTTATTATCGTACACTTGAAACTCGTCATGTTCTCGTGACGGGTTTCATAAAATATATTAAAAAACATAACTCGTCATGTGGATAAATTTGATGAAAATTATATGGAAATGAAACTCGTCACGATGACATGGAGAGCTCCAAAAACACTTTAGCAAATAATTTAGTTCTCAAATTAATTTTCCAACATATATATTTTCCTAATTCCTTTAGCACATGGTTCTTAATCTTGAGGTCGTGGGATCGAGTCTCACGGAGGGCATTTCATAATTCAGAGGTCTTCTACGGAAGCTGCTCTCAATTTGGTGTTGGGGGCAGCCTACTATCTTACCTCCCTTTACCCCATACATATGGGAAAAAAGGGACAAACAACTAATTCTTTTTTGGGTAAATTACACCACTCCTCACAGTACTTTACTTTCTCCTATTTTGTTCATTGTACTTTCAATTTTTCTAATTACACCTTCCACTTTTTTGTTATTTTTTTAATTATTTTATATTAAAAATAAATAAAGAATGTCATGTCATCAAAATGTTAGAGAGATAACGGGGGAGTGAGAAAAATGATTTAATTTATAAAATTCAGTGAGCAAGTTAGAAAAATTAAAAGTAAAGTGAGCAAAATAAGAGAGAATAAAATAAAGTGAAAAAGGTATAATTTACCCTTCTTTTTTCTGTTTGGATTATTTGCCCTGCAAAGCGCTTATTCTTTTCCAATTTCCACATTGTCATTGAGTAACACACTATATTTTAAAAAGGGTAAACTACATATTTATTCAAAAACTATTCAAGTGGTTCTGTTTTTGTCAATAAAGTATTTTTTACTTCAAAACCATACATAACATTATGTTTTTGTTTCATTTTTATCACATGCGTTAAAAAATTAATAGAAATGCTGATATGAATTTTTATTTTATTTTTCAATGATGACGTGACATTACCTTATGGTGATACATCAATATCACCATTAATTTTCTAACGGTGAGTGACCAAAATGGAACCATTCAAAAAGTTGAGTGATTAAATACATATTTTATCCTTTTAAAAACTATTACTGTTAGTAATAAATATCAAAAGCTTTTGTACCATTGCTTCAAAAAGAGAAGAGAACAGTGCAAAATGCAAAAACTTGTGAAACGCAGAAAAAGGTCCTACTTCATACAGTTAACCACAATTAATAACTAGCAAGGATACACAAACATTATAGTTGCGAACGACATATAAATTGTGAATATCAAATTATAAGAATTCCAGAGAAATATGTTGATGATATATAGATATATATTATTAATGATAGATTCAGAAATAATTTTCTTATGATGCGTTTGGTTCACAGAATGTAAGATTATTAATGGGAATGTAAGATTACTAGGGAATAGAATTACTAGGAATGTTGTATTTTGTGTTTGGTTGGTTTAGCAGGAATGCAAGATTACTGTGTTTGGTTAAAGGAATAAAAGATTATTGAAATATATATTTGATCAAATTGTCATTTATATATATATGTATAATATTACAAGTTGAAAAATATTTATATATTTTCTTTAAAAAAATTTAAATTCATATTTATATAATTTTTTTACAAAATTAAAAATATAAAAAAAATTAATGAAAGGGTAAAATTTTATTTTAACCCCTGAACTTCATATAAAATTTTAATTATAGTTTTTTTTTTGTAAATTTAAAATAATTTAAGGATAAATTTGTAATTTAACATTCGTAGAATTTTTATTATTCAATGACAGAAGAATGATATTTTTGAAAAAAAATAAAAATTTTAAGGGCATTTTAGTCCAAAACGCCGGTAATCTAACAATACCTAAAGAAAGGGAAGTAATGACATTCCCGGTAATATACCCAAAAAATCTACTATTAGTAATCTTACATTACAGGGAATAAGATTTCTGGGCTAACCAAACGGGGGAATGTGAATTCCATTTCCATGGAAATCTCACATTCCCCCATCCAAACGCCCCCTTAGGATTGACACATGTATGTTAATAATACAAAAATTTTAAATTGAGTGCACACAAATAAAATTTCATAATGGACACCATCAATAAAATAGATAACTAATTAAATAAAATTAGGTATGAGGATGGACACTTACCCAATGAATCCGAATATATATATATTATAGGTGTATATTGCTTAGTTAATTAATTTAACCAGCACCCGCAGATAAATTGTGTTTCTTTGCAAAGCTTTGCTTATTGTTGTGCATCCACACCTTAAGTGCCCTCCTCTTGATTCCAATCTCTTGGCAAAATTGCTGCACAACACTCTCATCCAGCTTCTGAATCCCCCAACCAGCTTTCTCTGCAAAGCTGAACATCTTCTCCTTTTGCTCTTGGCTGAACTTGGTCCTAAACCTTTTCCTCCCCTTCGTCCCGACTCGTCCTTCGTCTTTCTCGTCGGTTTCCGAAGGAATCGATCCGCCTTTGAACGACATTATCATCTGCCGAGGCAGTTCTTCCCTCGAGGAAATCAAGGTAGTAGCAGTAGCTTCTGCAGTAGGGTTCCCATGGGGTGAGCTCAAGATGTAACTATGAGGACCCAAGATGAGTTTACGGTGGCAACAATTGGAAGGGCAATCACAATCTATCTCTTTCCGATGGAAGTTCCGATGACAGTTGCAAGCCGAGCACATTAACGCCTCGAGGGAGCCTTCTTCGCCGTTCGAAATGAACTCACCGCACCCGTCTGTGGCGTTCCCTCCGATGGCGGCGGCATGGTTCTTTAGGCATTCCTTGTACCTCACCACAACTTTCTTGTAATCATCATCTCCAACCTGCCTTTCTTCCAACCTAGGGCTTGCATTATACATTCCAAACACACTCCCAACAAAACAAAACAATAAACTAAGAAGACAAAGAGAGATTAGACTATAACACAAGGTATACGTTAATGTAAAGTATATATGGGCGATGCCTTAGATACATAGAGATTAGGTTAAGTAGTGAAACTTTATAAAGTAAAGGTTAGTATTAGAAGTGAAGCAAGAAATAATGAGAATTTGCAAATATATATATGTGTGGTGGGAGAGATAAAGAAGAAGAAAAAGAGTAGAGGTGTATTTAGTAGAGCAACTACCAGTAGCTTATAAAAATTAAAGCGTAAGAGAGGGAGAGAGATTCTAACATGGGGACAACAAATTTAAGGATAGTTATAATATGGGTATAGAGAGAGAGCTTGCTTTGCTTGTACAATAAACCACTCAGTTCAGGCTACGAAGGATATATAAGAAATGCAAACCCACATTCGAAACCTGAAGTTTACGAATGGAGCAAATTGGATTGAGAGAGTCACCTTTATTTCTGCAATACTCCATCTAGATTAGTTGATCAATATATCAGATACTGATAAATATAAAAAAAATAATAATCAATCTTATTGTTTCCCTTTCACTGCTATGCCTTACTGTCCACTATATATATATATAAAGTTTTTATTCGAGGTAACATTTTATTTCCTAAAAATAGAATTAATTGTATCATATGTCCTCAAAGTATGACTTTAATTTTAAATTGGTCCCTAAACAATTAAACATTTCAATTTTATTCCTAAACTATGACTATCATTCTAAATTAGTCCTTATACTTTTGAACATTTCAATTTCATCCCCAAACTATGACATTCTAAATTGATTCCCAAAGTTTTTGAACATATATGTATATACTAATCACATCCCTTGTTAATAAAATAGTTAGGTGAAGTTATATTATTATATGTTTCAAAAAAATAAAATTTAGGTTAAATTATGGTTGAAACTAATCACATATTTGGATGAATTTGGGGATGAAATTGGAATATTCAAAATATTGTGGACCAATTTCGAAAGAGGGTCATAGTTTAGGTATGGAATTAGAATTTTCAAAATTTTAAGGACCAAATTAGAATGAGATTCATAGTTTATGGGTGAAATTGGAATATTAAAAAAAAATTAAGGACCAATTTAAAATGATTATTGTAGTTTGGGGACATATGATGTTATTAACTTCTAAAAATATATTTCATAATTTTTTTTAAAAAAACTATACAAATTTTTTTGAAAAAAAAGTTCACTAATGTTTGAATATTTCAAAGGATAATAGTATGAGTTGTTCAGCTGTTTTCTAAAATATTTAGGTTTTGATTGGTTGTAATTTTTTAAAATATATTGGGTTTGTTTTATTCTAAAAAATAGAAATTATTTTTATTTGAAAATATAAGACATTGAAGAAATTTAGTTTAGTTGTAAAATTTAAAAATACGAGTAGGAAGTGAGGAAATGGAATGTTAACGTTTGATATTTTATTTAAAGATTAAAATATTATTTATTATACTATTTATTTATTTACATAAAAAAAGAAAATCAAGATTAAAAGGGGTGATGTGGTGTGTAGTGATTGGTCACTGATTTTCTAATGAGTTTAAAGCAAATGAGGTAACAGTTTGATCTTCATGGAATAAAACGTCTAAAAAATTACTTTAGAAGATAATTCAGTACAAAATACAAAGCTTAGAAGTCATTATGCCTAAATAAAAATAAGGGTACATTACGAGTTTAGTACCAAATTATTAGTTTTAGTCCGCTTTAATACCTAAACTTTCAATTTTTTTAAAATCACACCTAAATGTATAGTTTTTGTTTAATTTTAGTTCTCAACTGTTAAAAACTTAACATGTTTAGTACCTAACTATCAGTTTTGGTCAATTTTAATACAAAAACTTTTAATATTTTTAAAATTTAACATTAAATTTTTAATGGGTACTAAAATGAAATAAAAATTAAACGTTAGGTATGATTTTGAAAAAATTAAAAATTTAAGTACTAAATAAAGTTTATTTATTATTTATTATGGTTTTCTCTTGTTTTTTTTCGAATGGATTAAAGGCTAAGAATCAATTGGGCTAAAAACTAAAAAGCCGAAAAAGCAAAATGGGCTAAAAGGCTAAATGAACAGCCCTAATCTTGACATGTCATTTACCCTTTCGGGGCTAAATTGAATAAAAACAAAATATGAGAATTTGACCTGGTTAAAACGATATTGACATGACACGGTCTTATTGAACAATAAATTTTTAACCACTAGAAACCATTTGAAAAACCTTTGTAAACGTTAAGAGCAGTGTTTTGAAAATCGAATCGGACTGGTCGATTCAACCGGTTTAACCGAGAATCGCTGTTCAATCCGGTTCAATCTACACCGATTAAATCGTTATTAGTGAACCGGCCGGAACCGCTGAACCATTCGAACCAGACCGACTGAAAACCGGAAAAAGTCGTCAATTTTGTTTTTGTTTTTTAAAAAAATTAAATCAAACGACGTCGTTTGTTAAACGAGCCAAGTCGAACTCGAGTATTGCTGAGCTCGACTCGAACTTGAAAACTTTAAAAGTAAGCTCAACTCGACTCAAACTCACGAGCTAAAAATTATCAAGTTCAACTCGAACTCAAAATATAATATTGAAACTTGAACTCGAAAAGTCTTGAACTAAAAAAAAATTTAGAAGCTCGATTGAAGTCTAAAATTCGAGCTTGATTGAAGTAAAAGAATAGTTCACTCAATGCTCACCAAAAGGCTCCATGATTTTGAATGTCAAATTACCTCTATTATTTATAGAAGTTAGTTGGGATGCTCTTCTATGTTTCTTAGCCATGTGAGATTGTTTTGTTCTCATATTTTTACTCTTTAGACTTTTGGGATGCTTTTCTATGTTTCTTATGTGGGATTGTTTTTTTTTTAAATAAACCAAACAATATCATTTTGTTATGATTTTTTAGCCCCAAATTTATTTTTTAATTATGGTTATATAATTATATTTATTATTTAATATATTTTACCTTAAATATTATGTTGTAGTTAATTTGAATCATTTTGTTTAACTTGATTTTATGGTTTTTAACTTATATATGTTATGATTTACTTTGAATATGACTTGTGATATAAAAAAATTATTTTTTATTAAATATTTTTAGTATTTTTATTTAATTTTTTAAATAATTATGACATCGTCCGGTTCTTCCGACCGGTTGAACCAGTGTACCGATAGTATGGTCGGTTCGCTAACCGGTCCAGTTTTGAAAACCATGGTTAAAAGTGTACTTCTATCAATATGTACATATTAACATAAAGAAATACATTAATTTAATAAATATTATAAGATTATATCAAATTAAAATATAGCGACTAAATCAATAATTTTGCACAATAGATTCTAAAACTCCTCTTCTAGTTGTAGACTATTTGTGCGAATGGAACGCTGCGTTTAGTGCCATGGAGATGAATAAAAGCTAGGTTTTCCCATTTTCTAGAAGTTGTTCTAGGGTTTCAGGATGGTGCAGCCGTCGCCTTTGAGTCTATAAATGCGCTCCGAAATCATCGTTCCCCTCGATAAGCTCTTATTCTTTCTTTCTTTCTTGAATTTTCCCAATTTTTTTTCTTCAGTTTTAAAAGAAAAAGATAGTTTTTGAATGAGTTTCAATGATAAGGGAATGGATCAAATGATGAGCCTGGAAGACCAACAACATGATGGATTCGTTCCATGATTCTTTCCTCGTTTTAAATCTCTGATGATCTCTTCATCTTTCCTCTTTGTCAAATTTTCTTCTTCTTTTTCTCTGTCACCAATCAAGTTTTGGAAGCAATGTAAACCATTTTTCATTTTTTAAAACTTGGGTTGCCTTTTTTTTTCTCTGTTTTAAAGGTATTGATGATCATATTTACAAGTATATATTTAAGAGCTGATGGAATTGTTTCGGAAACAATATTTGTGTGTAGTGATAATGGAAATAATATAGATCTGATATGAAGGGAAGCCATGTAGATGTTTAGAAAAATTATATATTCAATCAACAAGATTCTTCTCAAACGAACATTTAGTCATAAATTCCACGAAGGAAGCATGGTCATGGGCAATTTAAGCTTGTATTGGTTAACAAGGGATGGGACTATTTGAATCTACATTAGAATGCTTATTGCAGGTCCCAATGTGGCAGGGTGAAGGCAGGGCCATGGCCTCCTAAATTAGAAATTTTAAAATTAATCATTTTAAATTTTGAAGTTTTAAGATTAGATGATAATAGAATTTTACTTTAATATCTTAAAATAATAAATTTTAATTTTAATCATGAGAATAAACTTATATTTTAACTTTCTAGAAATTTATAACTTAATCTTAATTTTTTTAGGTGAAACGGCTTGGAAAATACTTGTACTTTTAAAAATTTATAATTTAATCTAAATTTTTTAAGGTGAAAGGGCAGGTGAAGCCCTTGTACTTTTTAAAAAAATTAATATGATCCTTCAACTCAAAAAAAAATCAATGTGGTCATTGACCAATGTTTTCCGTCGTTGCTCAATGGTTTCGTTAATTCCTGTTGATATGACATGTCAAGCAAGCTAGTGCCCTCTGTTTAATGATGTTATAAATGGGTAAATTATTTCATTCATCACTCAATTATTTTCTCTATCCCATTTTGGTCCCTAAAATTTAAAAGTTTTTAATTTAATCACTCAACTTTTGAATTGCTCCTATTTTAATCACCATGACTTATTCTATTTAATATTCATGTATGATGTGGCATTTATTATTATTATTATTTTATTAATATATGATTAAAATGATATTAATTAAATTAAAATTTCAAATTGTATTTAAATAAAAAAATATTCCCACAACCAGAAAAGGTAAAAGGTTAATTGGGGTAGTGATTTAGGGTTTTGGGGATATTTTTCATTTAAATACAAATTTGAAATTTTATTTTAATTACTTTTAATTTAATCATATATTAATAAAATAATAATAATAAATGCCACATCATACATAAATATTAATAAAAATAAGTCATGGTGATTAAAATAGGAGCAATTCAAAAGTTGAGTGATTAAATTGAGAACTTTTAAAGCTTAGTGACCAAAATGGGAGAGAGAAGATAGTTGAGTGATTAATTGTAACCCCCTAGACCCGACCTATGCGTTACAACCAGATCTAGT